CTGTTGTAACAGGAAGTGATTGATCTATAACTGTCTTTACGTGATGCAGTTTGTCTGACAGCACCATCATCGTGCATCTAAATATTTCAAAGCTAACTGTCCACAGCACTGACACACTGGCACGAGCTGGGCTTCTCTGCTGTGGGTCAGGTTTCACTCACAGCACTGTGGACTCAGTCATCATTTTTCAGCCTATTTCAGTCTTTTTAAAGGTCTAATTTTTAACGTTGTAACAACAGCTTTTGTTTGTCCAAATGGTATCAAAAATTGTGCTGAACATCAACAGTTTCAAACATTGCATTCTCATTACCAGGATGAGCTGTGCACACACGCTGTGATAAAGGTCAGTACTGCACAAACAGCAGATTACTGTCAAACCCCTCTGCAGTCTCCACTGTGTCAGGACAACATGTGATCACACTGCTGCAGCAGTCTGAGGGACGTTTTTCCCTGTAAAATTGGTTCCTCTTACCAGTCCTCGTTTGCAGCTCCTTGTCATCACCATCAGTGAAAATGAAAGTCTGAAACAAACAAGGAAACGCTGTTAGAGTTGTGCAAGCGCACAATTACACAAGCTCGTGCTCTGCAGTGAGGACGCAGTGAAGAACAGCTTCGCTCCTTTGTTTGCTCTCCTCGATCAAGACGAGCATTTGCAAGAGGAAGAGCAAAGATGGAGAGCAAGTAAGAAAGACCGCTTCATTTACTTTCTGCACCGACTCTTTATTTCTAATTATTTGTTCTACATTCATCAGCTGGACTCCTCACTCTACACTGGGACTGATTATTTGTGCACAAGGTGACATCAGGCTGGACTTTACATCGTTCCTTTAATGTAAAATAAATGTAGCACATCCATCAAACTCCCCTTTACAGCTGCAGGTCCAACCAACCACCTCTTCCAGCACTTCAGGGGACACACTGACATGTTCCCAGCACACGCTGGAGAGATGATCTCTCCAGCGTGTGCTGGGTCTGTGCCATGGTCTCACTGGGAGGAGGACTTGGCCCCAGTCACCTCATCTAAGGGTCATTTCAGACCTACATTCCCAAACCATCTACAGCTCTGGCCTCAAGCATTTCTCTCCTTTCTTAACCTCCTTTATCCTGCATGATTACACAGGTCTGCATCCAAAACACTGCACAGGATTTTCTGACTGTTTCTTATAGATTGTTACTCACTGAAACCAGGAAACTATTTTAAAAATTCCTTATTTTATTTTATTTTATTGTTTCACACATGGTACAGCAGTAATTCATTCCCATACACAACCTTCCTTTCAAAGTAACACTGTTTCCATGCATGAAAAGGAGCAGGAAGAAGAATAAATTCTTAATTCCTCTTGCAAAACTCATGTTTTTAGTTTCATTAAGCACAATTTCCTTTTTTACTCTGGAATCCTATACTTGAGTCAAAAACATATGCAATAAGGATTTCTTACATT